ACACGGAAAAAGACAAAAGACAAAAGACAAAAAAAAAAAAAAAAAGAAAAAATCTGGTAGATAAAAATGCACCCAATTAATTTGAAGCAAAGCAATATACCTCAGGAAAAATAATTTGTTTGTAGAACTGAAAAGAAAATAAATATTGACTTCTTTATTCATTGAGATACCCTTTTTGTAAAAAGAATTGAGATTTTGATCAGATGAGAAAATAAAAGTATCATTCCTACAATTAAGAAAAAGTAATTTGATGATTCTAAAAATATATTAGAATCAATAAACATTAGAAAAGAGGAATCAATAAACCTGAAAGCAGATGCAAAAACAGAATTTATCAATATATCTCAAAGCTGATTTACGATAAACTCCATAAATAAATTAGTAAAGACAATATCTGTAAAGCACTATATTCACACATTTGAAAATACGTTTGAAATAAATGGTTTTTGAGGAAAATATGTGATCATATTTTATCATGAAGAAACAGAAAAACTTAATGAATCAGTAACTCTAGAAGAAACTGAGGGAGTTTTACTAATTCTTTGGGAAAGCTTGTGGTTCAGGACAGCGCCATGTAATAGAAACATACTGCTCGTCACAAATGCGAGCTGCATGTGTAATTTTAAATTTTCTAACAGCAACACTAAAACTCTAAAAAGGAACAGGTAAAATTAATTTTAGTAATTCTTTATTTAACACAACACATATAAAAGATCACCATTTCAATGTGGAATCCATATTAAAATTATTAATTTTTTTTGGTACTTAGTCTTCAAAATTGTATTTTGCATGTGAAGTACACTTCGATCTGGTTGCTAAATTTTCATCCCAAATACTTCATCTGTATATTTAGATTATAGGTATTTACAAAAAATAAATTTGCATACCCACGTTGTTCCAAACACACAAGTTTTCCAAAACTGAAAGGAGTATTTTTTTAAATATAAATTTAAGTAAATTTAATGAAAATCAAATTAAGTGCAAAATTTAAAAATTCAGTTCTTCAGTCACACTAGTCACGTCTCAGGTGTTCAACATGCACATGTGGCTAGCGGCTGCCACGAAAGATGGCACAAGTTCAGAAAATTTCACAGCTAAGATATGAAATTCTATGCTAGGTAAAGGGCTCCAGAGTATGGAGGAGAATTTAAATTTCTCTATTTCTACAAAGCTAGTATAATCCTCCTACTAAAACCCAATAAAGAACAGACATATACATAAGCACAAATATGCAAAAAGCCAATGCCATTTGTTATTTCATAATATAGATGTAAAAAATAATACCAATGGTATACTGGCAATAAAAAGCAAAAATATATTAAAATAATAAGTCAGCATGTCTGTAGCATGTAAGCAAGCCTCCATTACTCTGAGCAAATATTACCAACTCATAGCAGATGTTTAGTAAGTAGGCAAGGGCCCAACTCTTCAAAGACTGCTGGAATAATCCATCTATCCTTTCCATTTCCTTCAGTCAACACCCAAACTAGAATTCACCTGCTCCCCCCACACACACCTGGGATATTTTTTCTTAGAATAAATATTTATTTGAAACATAATTGCTTGTACATATCTGAGGGCTAAAGCATTGCACATGGGGATACTGATTTGTATCATTACCTTCTTAAATCTCTGCATGTCGTTGCCCCCAAACAAGACCCTACCACTCACTCCCTGCCTACCAAAACCATTCACTGTGGCCTCTCGTTAATGCTCCTCCATAAGCAGCAGACTCCCTCCTGTCTTTGACATCTGCTCTTAATAACCAGGGCTCTCACCCAAGGACATGGCTTCCACTATATGCTTCTCCGTGGCGGGTACCCCCAACCATCAGTGTCAAGCAGTGAGTTTGGTACCCTCCGTGACCCCTGCACCATTTCCAAACTATTTTCCTCCAGCTTCTTGTAAGCAAACAAATCTGACCCTCCCCTTTCAGACCCAAGAGCATCTTTCCTCTCTTTGGTGTTCTTTACCAGCCTTTCCCACATGCTCCAAATTCTCCGCAGCAAGCCCTGCCTCCATTCCTTATGGTTTCCATCCTGCTGGAGACTGTGGCCACCTATATCTGTGAACTCATCTTCAGTGATTTGTTCCACTTCATTTCAGCCACAAAACCCACGACAACACCTTGGATGTGTTCATGACCCATAGCTGCTCCACCTCCAAAGCCACTGAACCCCACATTGGACCACACATTCCTCTCTTTCTGGCTCGTCACTTCCACACCACAGCCAATCTGCCCCCTTGAAGAGCCCTCCCTTTACTTTCTTCCCTCTACTTTTTACCAGTCCACAGCCATCGTCTTCCACCATTTTCCTTGTCCAGCTTACATTCCACCATTTATTATTTCATATTTCTATTGTCTGTCAGTTAATGCACATCTGGTAAAATTCTAACCTAGACTGAAACCAACTTTCCCTTTATCTGGGCTACACACAAGTGGCCAAGCAGTGTTGACGCGAGGTTTGTAACACGATAGAAGGCATATCCACAGTCACCGAGCTCCAATGTGCTCCTGCCAACACCTCTGCCTGGCACCCTATGACATATCTCTAGCACTGTGTTCTTTTCTTTCAATAAAACTATTAGAAGACCTAATTGCTTATCAACAAACAGATCATAACAAACATTTTTTGGTGATAAATTAATGTACACTTTTTATCAAATAACTCAGAAGAAGTTCAAAGAATCGAGAGGAGTTGTTGTAACAAAACCTTTTCCATTCCCATCTTCTTGTTTATGTAAAAATGTTTCTCAGCATTCACAACTATAAAAATGGAAAATAAGAAAAAACTGATGCTGTCCTTAATGCATTCTACCAATAAGTAACACTTGCTCATAAGTACATTAACAGGGAAAAAAAAGCCTTTTTATTTTACATTTAACAAATTACATTTCAAACTTTGTAATACTCATTTTTAAATTTCCTCATATTTTCAGGAAATTGTAAATGTTTAAATTCATGCACACAAATTTTATTGCAATGGTTGATCAATAAAAGACTTTCAAGAGTAAAAATGCACTGCATTAGTAAAAATTCTGTAAGGAAAGTGGAATAGAATTAGTAACTCGGAGAAAAGGGGACTACACAGCATTTCAGGTCATTGAAGAACAAGTTCACGATTTTTAAAAAATAGATTA